CACATTCATTACTGTCAAAAACCCAGCAGCAAGAGGGCAGATTTATAGAGGCGATTGCGGCTTCTCCCCGTGCGCCCGCCCCAGGATTAGTCACGAAGGAACCAGCTGAGGGACGACGTGAGGATGGAGGGGTGGGAAGAGCACAGAGATATGGGGAGGTGGGTGCCCTGCGGGTCGGGATGGGTAGGTCTGTGCCTGAGTACAAAAGGGGTGAGGGGGTGCTCGGGGAGCTTTGCCACAACCTCCTGCTTGTGAGAAAGCTCTGCTTTTTTATTCTGCTGTTGTCAGAAAGACTCCCCAGCACTCAGACCCCAGGCCCTCTCAAAGCTCTGCCGAATCACCCCCTCGCTTGTGCTGCAGGGAAAAGATAAGTGCGGTAATGCATATGAGGACAATGGCAATTTAATACACCAGCACAAATCCGCTCAAGCCTCCTTGCCAAGAGACCTATCCAGATGTCCTAGCCTGCCCAGATCACAGCAGAGTCCTCATCATGCACAGTGCCACTAGAGACCGTCTGCTGTCCTTGTCTCAGTCCAGCAGACCACACGGACGCACGCTGCTCCCAGACAGCACCTCCCACCTCAGCCACTCCATCCCTGAAAACTTGGCAGGGAGAAGAAAGATCCAAGAAGGAGACAGGAACAGAGCCCGCCTGGCAGCCCTCGCGTCTCCCCTTGACCCACATGCATCTATCTACCACCTTCCTCCCTCGGGCAGGACCCGGAGCCTGGGCACTGTTCCCCCTCCATGCTGTGTGAGGAAGGGGGCAGAGAGCAGTGAGGGGGTACTGCTCAGCTGGCATCCTCATGCTGAGAGCTCAGCCTGAATCCAAATGCTTTCAGAGTCACCTGGGTTCAAAAGGAACCGCCTGCACCTCTGCCTCCCTTAAAACCCGAGATCAGCAAGTGCCAGGGTCCCCTCCAAGGACACATCTGTCCTGACCACTTGCAGATCAGCCTGGTAAAGCTTGCATGGAGGATGCTCTTCTCCGCCTGGAAAGAGGCAAGTGCACAAAGGGCAAGGAAATGTCTCTAGAAGGGAAAGGGGTGGTGAACCCTCAGGAAAAGGGGTGGAGAAGCCTCGGGGCAAGCCCCAGCTTTCGGGGATGAAAGAATCGGGGTTTCAGAGGCAGGCCAGATACTGCAGCAGAAGGGAAGCCCCAAACACAAGGCTGTGGGTGGGAAGAAATCTCCACCCCTGCACTTGGGGCTCGCTCCAAGCTCAGCCCGCGCTCCTCTGTGTGGTCTCCTGCCAGCTTTGGCTTCAGGGAAGCAGCTGTCGTGAACCGAGCGTACTTTTATTGTTCCTCCCCCTCTGCTGCAACATGAGCTCACCAAGAAAGAAACAACACACAGCTCGAGAGATGGAAGTAAAAAGGAGAGCACTGCGTTGTAAGGACACGAAACAGCCACAGGCAATCTAGCCGCTCGCCAGACTGGTCCACAATCCTGCCCAACAGAACTCCACACCAGCGTACAGAAGTTAAAACCCAGCACTCGCCCTACAGCAGTGCAGGTCCCTCTCCCTGCAAAGCACACATGAGCTACCTGGGGCAGCATGCCTGTACCTGTGCACAACCCTCCCCCTACTTTGCAACCCAACTCGTGCCGGCTTGTGTGACAGCGAGGAGCAGGTTCATGAAAGGGAGAAACACTGAAGCTTCAGATTCTACTGCTGCTGCTGCTGCTGAGTTTTCACAAACCACCAAGTGATGGACAACATACCCTCATGATACCTAAATTCTCTGTAAGCTCTCACATGTACAGCCAGCATCCTTCATAGGGCTTTTCCTCACGCTGCCAGTCCTTATAACTGCTTTATGCCCAAGGGGTCAGGAACGTCACACTCAAAAGGCCAAATCTGGCTCCAGATGCCATGCAGGGCACTTCTGCCACCCTATGCACAGACCTTCACTTCAGAGCTCCGTTAATGCTGCCATTGCCTGCTTTATTCACTCCCTCCTTCAGGAGCTACCTGTTTCCTTTCTCAAATACCGCTCATTTCTTCCTGAGAGTAGGAAAGGACTGGAGTGTTTCAAGCTGCTGGCGTTTCCTCAACATTACTTCTTGGCCACGAGATAGCCCTAGGTGAAATTACTTTGCAGCCACATTAATACGTGCAATTCAAAACCAGCATTGCCACCTCTGCAGTTACCATTCAGCACAGGTGACAACTACAAACACTACCCACTGCAAGAGTGCCAAGGAGAGACAGCCTGAGCACTGAAACAGTAAACCAACACGCCAGGAGAAGCTCCAGCACCCTGTCCCTTGACGATGTGGGATTTCACAAAGCAAAGAGATTAATGAAGCAATCGGGAAGCCACTATTTTACCTTTCTCACCTGAACACACTTTAAAGGCTGACATATATCGATTGTCATGTCTGCACCTGGAACCTGTCAAATAGAAAGGTCACTCTGACAAACAGGGAGCAGGGTTTTAAGAGGAAACTAGAATCCCAGCATTAACTTACAATCTGGAAACACACGCTGGCTCAATTTGCCAAAAGACCTCCAGACAAGCCTTCTTTATGCTGTCCCTTAGTGGATTGGTAGTGGATATAGTTCACCCCAAACTCACTGGCATATGGAACACGTGGCTAGTGGGCAAGGGAAAGGAGAAAGCTAGGACTAAGACATCCAATAGCAGCCTGAAGTTACGTAATATTAAGGTGACTACAGAGCCACAGACTTAGACTGACAGAGCTCTCAGGTGTTCAGTTGTTCAGGGGTCCTGAATGACCCCTTTTGAAGCAGCCCCGGATATTAATCTGAAAACCAGTATCTGCTTCATCAGCACAGGTCTGACTGTGGGGGCACTAGGATGTTCATTACAAGGTGACTGAGGAAGGCACCTCCCACAACATCCTGGCTCCTCTCTGGAGATTATCCAGCCAAAGACCCAGCAATGACACAACACGACCCTCTGCAGCCTGCAAAACCAGAGAGAACCACAGCAGTCGCTGGTACGACTGCCGGCATTGCATTCACGGAGAGTATCAACCACCCACTCTCAGAGGCTGCCTGAGACATGGAAACAAAACACAGAGAGAGCACAACCGTGGTGCTGGGGATGTTCTGAGGAGTCCCCCTCTTCTCCTCCATCCTCTTGTGGGTCATAAAACCACAAACATTATGCAAGGCTCATTGGACTGACAGCTAAGATTTGTGTAGCCATAGTTTGTTGAGCAGCAGGGAGATAGGGAGAGGTAAAAACCATGGAGACCTACATGACTTGTTCTGTTAAGGCATCACTTGATGGTTACTGCTCCAGTGAAGAAGAACTGGCTGCTACAGCATGGTTTAAATGTCCTTTAAATGTCCTCCTGGGCACCCTGAGCTGTGACACAGAGGCTCTCTTCTAGAAACTGTTATCAAGGATTTCTGTTTCTCTCTCTGTCTCACACACATATGCATGCACAGAGATGTGCCATGAAGAAGCATATTACTCCAGGGACCATAGCCAGTCAACGCTGCTTCCTAGGGAAATAAGCTAAAATTATGAACATCACCAATCTGACCCTGCGAGCAGTAAAACATGTGCTACAAGGCAGGATAATCAAGATAAATGGAGAAGATTAACCTGGAGATGAGGGCAAGGAAGGAGGGAGGGAAGAAAGAGAATAGAGAGCTCATGAGGCATCTGGAGCTCGCAGCATCCCCTGGCTTTTCTAAAGACATGCTAAGGTTTGGGGAAGGTAGAGAAGAGTATGAAAAGGGACACTGAGGTGAAAAACCACAAAGCTCAAACCAGAAGACAGATGCTAGGAAGAAGTCCCTCTGCACAGGAACACGAAGGGAGGACTGACCATGCTTCAAGGACCTGAGCCAAGAGCCTTAAAGGTGCTAAAAGCCTCAGCTCCAGCCCTAAGGCCGAGACAGCAATAAACCGTTCAGCTCAGCGATGGCCCTGAGCTGCCCTGACCATGTATCTCTGCACCCTTCAAGGACAATAGAAGGCACCACCAAAATATCAGTGACAAGGCCTACAGAAGGCACCTAACTCTCTCCACTGGCTGTACACGGAGCATAAGCACCTTGCAGGTTTTCTGACTCTCCCTGCCAAGCCAGCTGTCTGTTGCCTAGCTGTTGCACACTCTGTGTGGGCACCCATAGCCTCGGTGACTTCCAGCTGGAAAGGGCCCAATTTCTGGTGGGGATGAAAGTCAGGCTCTTTGATCACTAGCTGCTTCTGAAGATGCCTCCAGCAGAGCGAGAGATGCAGCCAGTTACTAGACAAGAGCTGCAGCACCTCACCTATGGTGCACGTGCACATGCAGGCTTTGGTGGGAGCACGTCTCTCTTCTTTGATTCTGTTAGCCCTGTCCCTCTCCTCTCTTTCCCAGGTTAATCTGCTCTGATGAATGGAGGTGGCAACCTGAAAGCCGCTTCCGTCTCACAAGAACAACCCCAGACTGACCGAGCTGCAGTCACCTCACCTCCCAGAAGAAAACCCCATGAACAGCACATGAGGAGCAAAGAGAGGACGCAGTTCCCCAGAGGTGTATAAGGGAGCTCCAACATATCTGCAGCCGAAGAGCCGAGCAGTCCCACCTGTACCATGCACAAGTGTGAGACATCAGTCGCAGCCATGAGAGCAGTCCTTGCTCTGGAGAGACCACCGCAGCACTGGTACGTACCCCATCCCTGCAACACACCCCCCAGCTCCTCTCGTGTGCTCTCAGCACTCACCTGGCCGCAGGACCCTGATTTCCAGCAGGTTGGAGGTCCTGTCTGCCAGCCGCGTCCAACTGCTGTTGTAGTTCTTCCTCCACAGCTCAGCCACACACTGGTACTTGCCGGCCTCCGTGTCGCTCGCCCTGCTGATGCTCAGGCGCACGTTGTTGCTGGACTCGGCCTTCTCGATGGCGGTGCGGGTCCGGAAACCTGCATACCTGTCGCCCCACTGGACCCCGCCGTCGCGCGTGAAGGTGACCAGGTCGTGAAACTCGGTGCTGCCCGCCGGCTGGAAACGCCATGTCACCGACACTGGTACCCACGATGGGTAGTGGGGCTTGATGATGCACTGGAGGTCGAAGGACTCGTTGTAGGTCACCCCGGGGGTGCGGGAGATAGCTGTGACAGCAAAGCCGGCCTCTGTGGAAAGAGAGACAAGGGCTTTGAGAGGCACTTGCCTAATGAGGCCCGGCTGTTAGCATGCAAAAGCTAGTGTGATCATCCAGTCACGGGCCTGGAATAATCATCCGTTCGCGCTGCGTTGGCTCCTCGTTTGCAATGGCAAAGTGGCACGAAAAGCAGTGGCAAAAACACACTTAAGTGCCTGCGTAGTGGTGACTGCCTGCGTGAGCACTGGCTGCAGTGGCAGCAGGACTGTGCTCGATTTCTGCCCAGAGGAGCGCAATCCCCTGAGACCCGAGCAGCCAGCCTCTGCACGCTGACCAAAGCCCCATACGGAAACGCAGCAGCACAGCGGCAAGGGAGCAGCACCAGGCAGAGGAGCTATCCAACACCAGCCTGACCGCTCGCAGACCCCAGGATTCACATCCACCTCTTGGGCAGGGGTCCCCACCCAGTCCCCCACCCCAGGTCTGTGGCTGGTTGCTGCAGGTGAAGGAAAGATGAGGGAAGCGAGAAGTAACAGACTTCATTCCTGCATTGGAGAGGTGGCAGCAGTTACGAAACCCCAGGATGGGGGCAACTGAAAGAGAGGGAAGCTGGTTGCTCCTGTTCTTCACACAGCACGGCTTTTGTTCTCTTCCAGACCACAGCTCCAGAATGGCTTTATGCAGTTATCCTCACACGTGCACCACTCCACAAGCCGGTCAATACATTTTGACTTGTCTACCCCCAGCACTTTGTTGGTTTAGGGGAGTTTAAAACCAGCAGTCTATTAGTAATTTGAAGATAACATATTCCCAGTTGACTGACTTACATTTTGGGTCAGGGCATTTCCATTGCTCAGTTGTTCCGAGCTGCAGAGAGAAAATATTTTCTTCCAATCACTTTAGTGCAGCCAGCAGATTTAGCAGGGACCTCGTTTTCCACCGGCAACATCCCCAGGAAGCGCCCCCTTCCCGGGAGGCTCTGCAGGGTGTCCCATGCCAGCTGGCAGCTCTCCTTCCTCCCCCTGCAGCGCTGACTGTCCCGGCACCCAGCACAGCCACCGCAGCTGGGGAGAGCCTGGCCAGTGCCCAGTAGAAACAGGAACGTCTTCTGGATCAGTGCAGAGCTTCAGCCCGCCACCAGCTTGAAATTACAGTTCAAGAGATGAGCCGGGAGCTCACTGCAACCCACGGAGCTGCTGCCATGGGCCAGACCGGCCACAGCACAGACACTGCCGTATCTGCACGCTTCCAGCAAGTGCCTCTGCAGCCCCACGGCGTCACCATGCCAGAGATCCAGGATGTGTAATTACTGAGAAAACAGGTCAATCTTTGGGATTAAAGCCTCTTGCAACATGTTCAGTGATTACCCAGGAGAGGAGAGTGAGACCCAGGCTTTCTCCCCTGCAGGACTGCTGCATCTCATACCCATGTAAGTCTTTATACCTTCAGACCCTGCAGCAGCCCTCCTGCCCCGGCAAGTGTGTTACCAGGCCCAGCTCAGAGCACTGCTGAGCCAGCGATGGCCCTAGAAAGCCAACTTAATTTCACCAAGACCAGCTGACTTCGTAAAGTTTAATCTCCAGTTGGCCTGGGCAAAGAAGCTTCATGACTTCTCTTGACTGCCGTGCAAAAGCCAGGTGTGTTTCTCAGGTCCTCAAGTCAACCAACACGCTCATGGCACTTAGGTTAACACACAAAGGCCCTTCTTCCTTCAGGACTTGGTACAAAAGGAGAGAAGCCACGCTTAAAAGCCAGCAGATTTTCTGCAAGACCTCCCTACAAGAATACAGCAGCCCCCCCTCACCCTGCCTGCCCCCTCCTTCCCCAGCCAGCCAGGGACTGAAGTCCCTGCCAGGCACTCAAGATCCTCAGAAGTTCAGGGACATCTGGTCTCATCCGACAGCAAATCTCTCTTCTGGCTATTGCTTCTGAACCACCCCGTAGATAGATTTATGGGTTTGAACATCATCTGTGCTGGTTCAGCTGAAGAGTTTCTTACCCTGGCAGACTGGCAAATGATTAGACCTTAACTTGAAATGTGAGTGTCGCTAAATTTACTGCATTTTTTTTTACTAGCAATTTCTGTAGCCATAAACCTCCCTTGCTCTTTCTTAGCACCTTCCATTTGAGTTTCTCGGGACACTCCAAAAACATTACACTGAAGAAAAAATATCAGATTCAGTGGCAACGAAACAATACTCAATATTTTCTCCACTAAATTTTCATGAGCTACTTCAGCTTTGCTAGTTATAGGAAGAGGACCTAGGAATTTCTTAGGACTTGACAGAACGTGCTCAACAGCTGGTGATTTCTCTGGGACAAGGAGCGGAGGAGGAGGGACAACTACCTTTCCATCACATCTTCTGGAACTGCTGGGCAATTCCAAACATCTTAAATTTTAACAAGAGTAGAAGTGATACATTTTAAAATCTCAACACTTAATCTCAACACTTTGACAAGTGGCAGAGTAAAGAGAAGGGCCGATACGTGGACTTACAGCAGGCCAAATGCTGCTGACCTCATGAGGAAGTCACTGTTGAAACCAGATGAGAATCTGCCCTTAGTTCTTTACAAACTAACGTCCCTACCTGCTTCTGGAAGCTATACAGCAAAGATTTCTAGCTCCAGACAGAACAGCCTCTGAAAGAAGGTCAAAAGTGAAGGGGAGGAAAGGAGGAAAAAAGCAAGATTTTAATCAGAATATGATACAACTTTGAAGTCTGGTGTCTCACACATCTTGCCAAAGCTTAAGATTAATACCACAGAGAACCAAAAAAAAAAAAACCCACCCCCCAAAATTCCTATCTTGACCTTTCAGTAGAGCTCCCCGATTGTTTATAGCCCTGACATTCTGCAAATCAGTGACCTCACAGGAGCAGTCAGCCCTTCTTCAGTCTCTCGCAGAGCACTTGGGGAACTAGTCCAGAAATTAATATAGCAAGGCCTGAGCGGGACCAAAGTAATTCACAATCCATACAAAATCCCCAATGCCCTACCTGCCCTCTCCTAAACTGATGTGGTTTCACTGTGTTTGAAATGGAGGAGCTCTTTGGCAGAGCAGAGTACCAGCTGGAATGATCCCAGGTCCTAGTTTGGCTTGGTCATGAACAACATTGTGGTTCCGGGCCAGCAGCTCAGCGCCTCCTTGCAGAGGCAGTGAGGACCATTCCTGACCCATGTCTTCCGCAGGCTTCTGATGCTGTCAGAGATGCTCGCTATTTCTGGTGGACAGGTCAACAGATGCCCAGTGTTTTGCCCTCCTGGTCCGGCGAGCAGAGGTAAGGTTTACCCAGGGCAAGCAAGGAGGCTTCGATGACCACAGGCATGGAGCACCACCACTGCACTGCCCGTAACCCGGCTCCAATGCTGGGGGGCCATGTCATGGGACTGGCAGTCTCTCTCCTCGGAAGGACGCTGGAAGCACTGCCCCTCTCCTTAGCCACCCCCTGCTTTGCTCCTGCCACAGCCACCCCTCAGACTTTGCCCCCACACGCAACGGGGCATGCAGGCGTTTTGCACCAACCTACCGGAAGCTGCGGGCGGGCTGCCGGGTACCTCCATTTTGCCGGCAAGCAAGGGCGGGAGTGCCAAGAACAGCCCCGGTTATTCACAGGTGACCTCCTGGGGGGGCCAGGCACGCGGGGAGCAGAGCCCCACAGCCCCCGCGCCTCGAGTACTCACCCAGAGCAGTGATGGACACTGGGGTGCCTGTGTGCCGCTCCCCAACCATCTGCCACTCCCCATCCAGTGTCCGCGTCCACTCAGCCACCCGGCACTCGTAGTGGCCCTCGTCCGCCTTGACGCTGTTGAAGATCTCCAAGGTGAAGGAGCCGGGCCGGACCTGCTCCACCTGGATGCCCCCATAGCTGCTGCGCTCGGCGTACGAGGGGCCCGGCTGCAGGGTGCCCTCCCGATCCAGACGCACAATTTCGCTGCGCCGGTTCAGCTTGTCCACCAGCTGCCAGGTGACGGAGAGGCGGCTTTGGGGCCCAAAGCCTGAGCGCACGTTGCAGCCAAAGCGCAGGCTCTCCCCCTCCAAGACATTGCTGGCGTTGTTGATAATCTCCAAGGAGATGCTGGTCTCTAAGGAGAGAAACGCATACACACAGGGGAGATGATACACACTCGCCACTTCTCGGTCTGCAAGAAGGATGCTGCCAGCCAGAGAAGCTTTCGACCAGGTGCAGGAAACTGCCCACGTATTTGGGTCCAGGCATGTCTTAACCTCATGCGTGACCACATCCAAAAACAGCTTGTGGGCAGCGAGCTGCTCCTGGTGACTTGCACACTCAAAGCAGCTGTAGGCCAAATCTGGGAGAAATCTCTCTGCCTATGGCTCATGAGACATTGCCGCATCTTCTGGTCGCAGGTCCGGGATAGGATCTCAGCAAAACTTGAGGGAATTTGTGTTGCTACAACATGCACCGCATGCAACCGGCTCTGCCAAAAAAAGCTTCCAGCTCCCTGGGCTTTTCAATTCACGTCATCCTGATCACCATCTTGCCACGTCCATTCCTACAACACCTTTTGGGAGAAGCTCTCCCAAACTCCCACTGCTAGTGACACTAGAGGTAGCTATCAATGTTTGGTAACATCAAAAAAACCTGGTATCCTGAGCTTCTCAGAGATGTAAGGCTTTACGGCTGGTTTTTCAGAGATACCGAGTGCTGGTTACTCCTGCTGTCTTCGGTCAGAGTTATGGACACTTAGCACCCTTGAAAAATCATCACATTTGTTCCTAGAGCTGGTGATTTATCAAATGGCAAGAATGAAATCTGTCTGAAAGGTGGCTGTGCCTAGAAGTACTACATTTTAGACATTTGTCCAGTGCAAGGTTTCTAGCTAGAGTGATTTTCAAAGCCAGACAAACAAGACCAAATATTGGTAGGACAGAAAAGAAATAGAATTTGTTTTGGAGAAATGAGGAGGGGAAAAAAAGCTAGAGGA